GCTTTCTAATTACATCCAGTCTGCTTGACTGTGTGTGCACAATTAACTGCAGACCAAAAATGTCACACGAAGCGCTTCTGAGGTCGTAGAAGAACCTCTCTAATATGAGTTACTTGCTTTTGGTGAAATGAGCATAATTGCATTTCCCTGTGGCCTAAAGGGCAGCCACCGCGAGGAGTTCGAATGAACCAAGTCTCGTTCTGTACTTCACTCACCAAGTGCGGTATAGGAGTCGAGAATTTGCCTTAGAAGGGAGAGGGACAAACTCTTCCAATTTTCCCATTGGCAGTGACTTGTTTGCTCGTTCAGTTGTTAAACCACCCCAAAACCCTCCAAACAGAGTAGTGAGAAGTTGGAAGACGCTTCGAAGGTGTTCATGGAAAGGGGAGAGGATGCTCAGAGTGTTCCAAATGTTTCTGTCTTGTGTTACCGCAATGTCAAGTTGATTTCAGCAATTAATAAGACGTTTTGCATAAATGCGAGTATGCGTTCCAAAGAAATTTTAGTAAAAAGTATCCTACCTGACTGGCGAATCCTATGAAATCAAATATAGGGATAAGACCAATTTTTTCCCATATAAACTCATAACACCTAAGTTTTTATTTTGACATACAGTCTTAATCACAAAGCATTCGTGACTGAGGCTCCATTTAGGCGATTTTAATTAGAGTGCTTTTATTCCGTACAAGTCCAAGTTATTTATTCCAACTATTTTCAGCAGTGATGATGGCCTTTATAAAGCGTTACAAGAGTCGACTCTGGCACAATTGCTACACCTTTGAAAGTGCAAAAGAACGTGAGGCCGAAGTAGCAGTGCGTAGTGGATACTAAAGGCTGTCACTTTACTTAGCGTTTGAGTTGACTTGACCTCCTTTCAACCTCTCCGTCTGACACATTTGAAATACACGAAAACATTTACAGTCCCTTTCACACAAGCACTCTTGGCGTTGGACTGTTTCCTGTCTCTGACGGTATAATTCTTGCTTTGCTTGTATGGTGGTTTCAGATTTACGCAGTGGGTCCACTGGTGGGCTGCATAATTGCAGTTATTTTCAATGAGATGGTCCTCACTGAAGACGCTTGTTGGCTGCGGACCAAGGCGTGGCTCACCGATGTGCACTACTTCCGTAATCACTCCTACTCCCTCAGTGGACGACCCAGCAAAGCTTCCACAAAGGGTAAGTCTCCTTCCTCCTCCTCCTCCTCCTCCTCGCCGCCGCCGCCGCCACTGTCTATCCTTCTACGTCTTCACATCATTGAAACAAAGTTTTGGAACATTTTTTGCCAATCAATACTAGACCGTGGTACAGGGACAGCAGAAAACTTCAATTTAGTATTCTTTCACGTTCATCTGCCTAAATGCCCTTGCGAAGATATCTGATCGCCATTAACACTTAGTAATGGCTTGCTATCCTCGGTATCATCGTTGTTTTTTGGTGATTAAACTCACAATGAGGAAACGGATCTGAGATGACGCTGCTCGAAGTCTTTAGGCTAAACAATAAAGGCACAACTACATATCCAGTGTAGAGCCTCAACATTCCCCTATCTTTCCTTTCATCACGTCTTCATGCCAAGCATCTACAACGCAGTCGACTGGAGTGAATGATGGATTACAGCTTGTCAATGACTGCGTTAGTTTAGATTGAAATCCGCCTACGCAGTTGGTCATAATTCCGAGTAGAAATCAAAACAAGTGAAGAGGGCGAAATAGTGCCTACAGGAATATCAGATCCTGCAAGCCGATCACCCTCTAAGTGTGCTCAAAAGAGCATCCCAAACTTTTCCTGTTTCTATGACTACATTTTACCTGAAAAATTTTCGTGCGCTTTTCCTTTGAAATGTGCCACCTTGGCCTCAGTTACAAGCTAAAATCAGGCGTGCTGGCTGTTGTGGGCTTTGACACACAGCAACTATAGGTTCTTATCAAAGTTAGCCCACATTTGTGATTTTGTCCAAAACAAAACAGCCAAGGACTTTAGAAAGTCCGATTTCAGGAGAGTATGGAAAAGGTCACAAATCAAGAACGCATTGTGTGCCAAGTCCTCTCGATTGGATGCCCTAGTGGGAGATGGAAAGCGCAAATAAAAAGTAAATAAGCATTCACATCCTACAAATGGAATTCTAGCGTATCGTATCCGCGACTGTTAGGAAGTAAATTACATTGTTTACGGTGAGATGTGATTGAATCCGGTGCGACATTTCGGTTGCATGGAACGTAAAGTTGCGTGATGTCTTACATGCACAGAGCAGTCAAATACTCATTCCGGCAGTGCAGACAAAATTAAACACCTGTTTCTTTCATCGAGACAAAAGTTTCATTAATTTCTTATGCAAATTAACTAAAGAATTTATGAACTTCATGGAAGACTAGTTTTCACGACTAACACAGGCACTGTGAGAACAAAGGACCATCATAAGTTCAGCATCTCCTTGCCATTCTAAAACAATTACACAGACGATAATGGAAAGTGTGCTTCTGTTCAAGCCAAGGTGCATCTATGGTGCCTTATTGTTCTGCTTGTGGATAATCAGTTCCTACCAAAAGCCATAAAGAGGCGAACAGCACCCATTGCAAGTGTGTGTGACGCTGACGGTGAGGCTTTACTTTACGAAAATGGCTCCACTCACTAACCCACTTTATTTCCGCATTTCAGCGACTGAGGAGGCGAAAAGGGCCTAGACAAAAATGAAAGGGAACATAGCGCGACCTGTTACAGGAAATACTTATTTGTGATCTGCTAAATGCCTCCTTTGACTGCTTTGTTATTTTCACAATTCCTGGGGTTGTTATATGGACGGGAATAGCAACTTGCCCATTACGACCATTTGATTACTGTCTGGAAAGTAGAAAGTACTTCTAGGAAAATGGGTAGGCAAATAAGAGCACCTCTACCAGCTTCATCTCTCAATGCAAAAGCATTGCTACCTACGCAAAAGGAGATGAAGGAAACAACACTCTCAAGGTCACATTTACACAATCCAACCCTGCAGACTAGGTTTCAGTGGATCGTAAAGCTACGTTAGTCTGGAGGTAGCTCATGGCCGTTACTGCGATTAAGGGGAGAATAGACGCGCGCCATTGACATGGTGTTGCAGCCAGGTGCTAACTGCTAACCGTGAGCGAGACATCAAGGACACAGGGTTAAATGACAATTAATGCCTACCAAAGCTACATTTGTTGCTCGAGATGAAAACATTCGTACGCCTACACACTCACGCATACAAACACATCTGATGTGGAACCGTGGTTCCACGTAGCGTTGTGGTGGATCACAAAGTTCAGTTCTTGCAACTGAGGCATTCCTGCAAGTGTAAAAACTGTCAGGCATTTCCAGATAGAGTCAATGAAGTCTAAACAAGTGCGAGCAACAGCCCAAATCGTTGCATCAAGATGTCAATGCAGGTTAAATAAAGAGAAACCTGCGTTTTGCAGAGCGGGTAAACATAATGGACGGAACGGTAACTGAAACGAATAAAACGTGATACGACAAAGCACTGGCTAAAGTCTCATGGGCGAATCGAGATTTTGTTAACTTTGGCCTCTGTAAAGCGTTGATCCACCTGATCAGCAGCCCTGCTCCTGAATCCTCTTTCAAATAATTACGTAATGTCATCTTCATGCTCTCAACTATAGCGACACAATTGACAGTTCGTGCAAAAATACTAAAGAAGCAAAACTAAGCATAAGTTTGTAAGGTAACAGAGTAGCACTCTGGAACTTGTAAATCTGTACCTCCATCTTTGACAAAGGAACCTCTCCGTACGGACACAACCACGGCTCCACTAACTGTTTAAGTGTTAATTCGCCTATGAGTGACTACGTTCACCACCGCCCCTGAACAGCTCATACACTGTGCATGTCTACTTGAGTATTTATTGCCAACTGATCTGAGAATCCACAGCACGACTTAATGTTCCCGGAAATGACGAAACTGGAGACAGATACCACCAAAATCCTTTCGCCACTTGAGAACTTCCTCAATGGAAAGCGCGACTGTAAGGCTTTTCGTTAGGGAAGCATCTAAAGGTCAGGATTGAGTACCGTAGCCTCGTATCTTGGTCATCATTGCGTGGAATGGATCAAACTCAACGCATGTACAAGCTGTCAAATAGCGATGAGGCACACCTGCCACGCACTATAGCAAGTAGTATCGACAGAGATGCATAGTTTTGAACTTATTAGTTGTAGCATCTTTCCTAGTTAGAACGAAGTCATTACAAGGAGTAGAAGTTGATTTAATGAACAAGTCCCCCCTGAAAAAGTGGATGGAACTTCCCAATCCACTCTGTTAAGAGTACGTTTTCGGGTGATGACCAAACACTCCACTCCGGGGAGGAAGAGCTGTAGAACGGCCAGTGATGTTTGTAAACATTTCATTTTTACATACCAAATACAGTCACGTAAAGGTAAATGGAGTGGAGGTAAGAATCACATACGCATGTAGTAGGAGGATGTTGTTAAAGGAATTATTAGAAGTAAGTCGAACGACACAGACGTTGGTGTCTTAGTCACTCCATTTCTACCCACCAGGATCGCCCTTAATCCACCTTTTGTCGTTCACCGTTCTTTTTCGTCCAAAAAAAAGAGTTCTTTGAAACCAGTTTCGTCTTTTCATGACTGGTTTGCTGTTTGCACATTCGTCGGTGATAACTCTGTGCCATAGCGTTGATTATTGAGAGTATAAAAGCAATCATCGCTGCAGTTACTATCAGAGTGATTGCAAATTGGATCCAACCCTCCCTCTGAAGAAACAAATAAAGTCATTACAAAAAAACCAAAGTGCCACTGAGACCAATCAAGTCTTTCAATCCTTACTGACAAGTACCCACTTAAATGTGTTGAAAACCTCTGCCAGATGCGACTTACGGTGAACTAACCCTGGTTAGTAGGGACGAGCAATCGAAAATAAGACTATATTTTATGACCACCAAGAGAGGAAAGTTTCTTTATTGTCGACACTGAAGATAGTCACGTACTAACAATGACAAGAGTTTCCTTAAAATGTAGACGGTGAAACATCCAAACCTGCGTGCAAGTTCCATAAGGACCAAATCTTTCTACAAGAATAAGGGATACAATCACAGATTTCCACGAGTTATTCCACCTCAGGTACCCAACTATTGTGGAATGGATCAGCCTCACTGGAAAATCTACCAGTACCGAAGCTTACTGATGCAATAGCCAAAGACTGGGTGTATTGTGTGGATAATTCCACCGAAAGACTATTTGTTATTTTTTATAGTAGACTCAAAGATCCCGATTCGATCAAAACCTTCCGCAATATTAATAGCGAACGCAATCTTCTAATTCCACCTAACTAGGACTGACGGTGTTTACTGACATTAGCAAGGACCAAGTTACAAAATAGCTTAATTGAAATGCAAACTTCAGGTAGTTACCCACTTCATCATGCACCGTGGTGACACACCTGGAATCCCTTCCGCATGCAATAAAGTAGAACTTCATGAATCGGTGCAACACATATAGGGACATACCGGTGGAGCTCCCTTCTGCAGGAGCTTCTCCTTCTGGTGCTCAAGGTACTCCATGAAGGGCCGTTGCAGTCTCTTCCCTAACAACGGAAGTTTCCTAAAATAAGGGATTTGACTGTAATATCATGAGTCCCAGGTTATTTATGCCTAGCTGAGATGAGGTTTAAACAGTGAAACGCGTAAAAGTGAGCTTGATGTAGAAGTGCCCAGGATTTAAAGGTTGCAAATAGCAATTAAAAAGGTCAGCTAGTGTGTGCAAACGCCAGTGGTGGTATGAGGTAGCCGACTTCCTACAAGACTCAGATCGTGAATGTTACTTCAAATTGCCATAAAAGCTACTACTGAACAGATGCCTTTCCCTAAATATGCATAACAATGGAGGCTTCTCTTTCATATATGAACCTAAGCTGCGACAAAAATTTTTCGTCTAGGCAAGGAAAATAAATTCAGGGAACAGAAGTGACAAAGCCTGATGTTGAGTAACAATTTCGTCGAAACAAGATTTTGCGCTTAAAGAATTATCTCCCAAGACACGGCATATTCACTTTTGACTCCCACTGGAGGGAATACAATCAAGGAATAGCTCTGCGATAAAACCAAAGTAGTTGTCACGCGTTTTATGCATTGCATGAGTATATATATACGATGTAAGCAGTTATAAAAATAATATGAACCATGAGAGGAAGCTGCCTCACATTCAAAACCTGAGGTATGTTAACGGCAATCTTCTACTCCAGTTCAAACAATAACAAAAACTAAAACACATTAATAACAACAAGGAAGTATCTGGTGCAACAGATATATCATCACTCACCCTATATACTTGACTAGAAGATTGATGTGGTCTTCCGAACTCACGGCGATTACAGCGAACTGCTGAATGTGCGCTTTAATGAACGCCTTACCGATGCAGGTGGCGCCGAAGAAAGTCGAGAAGGGTACCAAAAAATGACCACATGTCATTCCCGCCAGATCGAAAAATGGATTTGGTACCTGTGAAAGCGGAGACAAATTTGTCGCTGACGCAGCAAGCAGAATGGTTCACTTGGTGTTAGCAACCATTGCAAATGATCACTACCTCTCCACTATTATAGCATTGCAGTCAAAAGCAGGATAAAAGTGCAAACAAACGATTTCACATTTCAACAGACCTCCAAATGGAGTAAAACAGCTTACCGAAGCGCACAGCAAAATGCCAATAAAACCTGCACGGGTGACTAGTCGTTGAAGAAAAACTTCCACACGCTGAAAGCTGGACAATCTTTTTTCTGATGTTTGCGGCAAAATGGAATCTGTTTCCACTTCCGAAGAAGATGACGTATTATTGAGAGACAGCTCAATTTCATCAGCATTAATACTCCCCGAAAGCCTAGAACCACGCGCCATAAAATACGGAGGTAGTTCACCTATTGCTGTGCCAAGACCCTGAAGACAATATTTACAGTAAAAGAGTATGAGGACAGCTAGTGACAACGAGTAGTGGGATGATGGTGGTGAACTTACCCAAAGAACAGACTCCAATTCAGTTTTGTGAACAATTTTAAGGAAAGATACATCCTTATGTGTGCCATTCAGTGTTGGACAAATGAGTTCATCGGGGTAAGGAGGTTCCGGAAAATCAAGAGAATGACATACATAGGCGCTTAATGTTACTTGAGCGATAAAAGGGCCCTATCGAAATCAATTGCGAAAATATAACTCACAAGATATAACACAAATGTGTGCAATCCTGAACCGAACCCGCATGAAGACAAGAAACCCAAAAGGATCCACCAACCATACCAAATGGCTCTTTTTTCTGCATGAATGAAGCTCTGAAGATAAACATATGAACTAGTTTACTTACTTCTTGAAGAGGCCCTCCAATGCTCCGGACGGATAAAAAGACAACAAATGTTAGTATCGAAAGACATGTAGCGAATTTATGTCGTAAAATGTTTCGGATGAGAGAAGCACATTGATAAAAGCACTCCAGTAAAAAATAATATGCTGTTTTCAGCGGTGTTCGCCAGAGTTTTAGAGAACGCCTTTCGGTATGTTCTGCAAGAAGCTGTTTTTTTGATCTGATAGATGACGGTCGTTCAACATTATTCATGATAAAAAATTGTTGAGGGATAGCTCTAGGTAGCAGTAAGTCGACGCCGTCAGTGGACACAACTAGAAAAGCACATCACTACACGATTGGATAGTTTTGTAAGCCGTGATTAGTTAATATACCTTCCTCACCTACAAACATATAAACACAGTCGAAAAATTTTATAACCACATCACTTCTGTTGGAAAAATTTTGTGCAAAATTAACAAATCTGGCATTTTAGTAATGATATTGATTCGCTTAAGAAAATAATGTTTATTTTATTTTAACAAACAAGATTTCCATATGCTTTAGTATAAAGGCGCTTCTAAATGCGAAAAAACCAAAGGCTATGTACTTGGCAACATTTGTAACATAATTGTCATAACTACAATCTGATAAAGAGAAGCTTTCAAATTTACTATATATGAACGCGATGTGATGTATTATTATATGAATAGATAAATATTTACAAAACCTGGCAGCAAATAAGGTTAATAATTTTGTTTGGGGTGTTAACCTTGCCTGAAACTCTACCGCCGCATTCCGTTAGCTATACCATGCCCACAAAGCGCAAATTCAGCGCGAAGTTCCCCACGGTTAGTAGTCAACGTTTTTATTCGCTAAAATATTAAGGCCAGAATCAAAAAAATCATGCAACTGGATGATGAAATAGGAAAACTCTCGGCTACTGTCCCGCCAGTTGTTTGTAAGATTTGAGATTTGTCTAACTTTTCAGCTCGAGCATTGGAATTATTTATCGAACAATTACTGACTAGAGCATACAAACTGACTATTTCTAGGAATTCGAAAACTATTCTACCTTCTTATTTGTATGCGCTGAATTCTTGTATTACATTTTCCCAAGGAAGGAGGTTATAGATAGTGAAGAGGTCTTTGCCTTTCTCAAACCCCTTGTCGCCCATGTTGCGCCTCCGAAATCACTTGAGGAATCAAAAACACGAATAAATCCGGCACCTTCAGAAGGTAAATCAAAGCAAAGAAATGGTACTTGTGGGCGCAAACGACAGATTGATGAGTGCTCTTCCGACTGTATTTTGTCTGACGAATCGGGACCATCAAATTCTTCCAAAAGTAACGGCCGTAGGAAATATTCGCGTCCTAAGAACCAGAACATCGCTCATAATGAGAGTTCAGTTGATTTATAAGGGTAGGTACTGTAGTACTACACAGGTGATTTTCTTTGTCCTGTTGACGCGAAATGCAAATCACTACGTTTCGCACGAAACATCCTTTCAAGCTACCAATGCTGTGGCATATTCGATTTTACTTCTTGTAGGGCTGTTATCAACACGAATGATGGCAATTATACCTTTTTTGTAGGTGTAATATCTAATTTGGACACTTGAAGACCAAATGTGGTATGAAGGGTTTCATACAATTATGCATTTCCCAATCTTAAGTATTGCAACTCCTCCCCCAACTTCATCCACACTCTGCCTTTCTTGCCCCGTATTTTATGCATGCAGACTTGTATTTCGTAAGTACGTTTTATTTGCATTGTTGATAACCATGTTACTCTCGTTGTTTGTACAGTTCCAATGAATTCCTCATTATTTGATTTATTGCTAATTTGATCGTGTTGCAGTAGTGATGCTCCCGAATCAAGCGCGTTTGAAAGTCACTGATCGTGGGACTACCCCCGGATTCGTCTAATTCTCTCCTTCGATGACTAAACGCCAAGCCAAAGTAGAAGTGACCCTTTCTAGTCTTGGTCGATACCAACAGCGTGGATCACACTTGGTGTTATTGTAAATACGAAGTCTCTAAAGAGCCTACAAGCCTAGAATTATGTCCAAAAATATTAATTGAAAAGATGAGCGTACCCCGGAGTGGTCGCTGTTACCTCATGCATCATAGGACCTCAGAAAAGAACAATTATCAGATTAGGGCCATTTTTAATTTGAGCAGTAGCAGCGACAGTGATAACGCACCAGGTTGCGTGTGATAGTAATTATCGGCAAAATGCGTTTGTAGCAAAATTACCAAAACGCACGACAAGATGTGTGATTATTAAAGTTACATCTGTGTCAGGTTAGTGAAGATAAGGCGTGTCAGTGGGAAAAAGATAAGTAAAGGGGCACGCAGATGCTCAGTGGAAAAAAAGTGAGGCAAGAACAACTCCAAGAATGAGTTTAAGGTACACAGGATCGGGAAAAGAGTAACTCAGTAGAGTGTGATGCTGAGGTGAGTGGTCGGTAGGAAGCCCTGTCTCGAGCCATCTGCGCTGACGACGCCAGTCCAGCCAGAGCCGTCATTATCCACCTCTAGAACGTAGAAAGCCTCGCCTGCCTTCCCTGAGATACAGCCTTGATCATTACCTAAGAGACAAATATGAACGATATTTGCTACTTATAAAAAAGTAGCAATAACGTTTGCTAATGCGTAAACCACTCACCTTCACAGTCATACTTCAGAGTGGCCTGGCCGACATAATTACCAAAGCCTTGAGAAGCCGGTGTGGAGGGGTCGTCCACATCCGAATCAAATTCAAGGACGGATGAACTAAATCAATGAAAATGGATGTTAATGAGCCAAAGGTCAGTGGATGAAAGTCGGTTAAATGCGGGTTATCAACATCTAGGGAGTAAGCAGATGTTTGAACCTTAGAGAGAAATACGGCACGGCTGAGTCATCACTATTGTACAGTGGCTTTGACGGTTACACCTCACCTGCAAGCTTGTTACTTTCAGGTTCAGTGGGGTCAGAGTCTACCTACCATGAAATAGTGTAGAGCGTGAGTTGAAACATTAGTAGTGATAGAGGTTGAACGGGAACAAATTAGAAGTCATCAAGTTTGCCTTTAGAGTAGTTACTTCCACTGATCTCACTGAGATTTGAGATCAAATAATCAGGTTATGAGTTAGCACTTAGTCTTCCACCGAAAGAATCACAGTCCTGTAGGAAAATGCAGTTGGAACTGAGTGGAGGGTATTTGAGCTAGGAAGATGAGGTGCTAGTGTGGACCGTCTTGCTTGGCAGTTTAATGGCGGCGGCCTTCTCCAAATATGTCTCAAAAGGATGACTAATGCAGACTAACTGACCGACACGAGTTGTCGCCTACTTGTACAAGGTCGAAAAAATAATTATTCAGACATCAAAAAAGGCATACTGAAGCCTTCAAACAAGTTATGATAAAAGTATTATGCATATCATGACTGCGAGTTGAGCAAAGCGCAAAAATTGGCGAGCAAAGAGAAATTGACGTCTACAGGACAAACCTTTGGTGTTGAAGGCTGGCGCTAAAGTATAACGTCAAGAGGTCAAAGTTGAGATGGAGAACGAGAGAAGGTGAGAGTTTGCTACCCTGTATCAAATCGTTCACCAGTTAGCATGCTGTAAGTATTAGCGCATTTGAGGGTGCTTAAATTGACTTAAAAAGTCTATGCGAAAAAGGTAAGAGCACCGGAGCAAACAAATTGCTGGCAGAGGAAATTTTACTTGGGACAAAAAATTAAGGTGATTCAAAACTTCTCGAAGACTAAGATTTTGGAAGTTGGAGGAATTTGATCATAATGCCTAATTCTAAAACTCTACTACGAATTGAAACAAGTTTTTTAGCAGTCGGATTAAAATCACTTATGGACTCTCATGCTTCCGATTTTAGAGGCCGAACATTTTTGACCGTTACCAAGTGGCTGCAGCTCAGCCAAAGACCCATGAAAACAATCATATCCCCATAAATAACTTGAAAATGACAGACCAGTCCCAGTGAAGACCATCCAGGCTGGAAGGAGCTAATGGGCACATAAGTATCTTTCCACTCCAGCCAGACACATTAGTCAAGCAAACCAGGACCCAAATAGAAGGAAGGTATGACTGAAAAGAAGAGGAAGTGGAAAATAAGAGCCTATGGCAAAAGACCGCGCATGCGGAAGAGGTTAAAAAAGAAGCCCTTCGAACCTCAAATTGAGCGTTCCATTTTCCTCGCAAAGCGGTTGTATTGCATTTAAAACTTACCGTAAATAGGACTGTGATTTTCGACTAAA